TGTAGCAGAGCTTCCTCCTCCGACATCTCCTCCTCCTCCTCCATCTCCTCCTTGCTCTCCGCAGCACCAGGTGCCAAAACCTCTCCAGGACCCTCCTGCACCTCCGGCTCCTCGGCCGGGCCGCTGGGCTGGCCCAGCATCCAGGGATTAGCTGTGCTGGCACCCGCAGGGACGACGGGGACGATCACCGACGCCAGGTCCTCCTCGGGGACGTCAGGCGGCTCCTCCTCGCGCAGCTCCACCCGCACCTTCTGCGTCAGCTCCTTGTTCCTGGCCCGCTTCCCCCTCCAAGCTGCTCCTGCAGGGCCTGGCGGGCCTGCGAGGGGACAGAGGCGTCAAAGGCAGAACGAGCCCACTCTCCTCACCCCACCTTGGCTGTATCCCCCTTCTCCAACCGGTGCTGGAGGCCTCATAGCAGCCTTTCAATAAAGATGAGACTTTTTACCAGTAGTGACAGGACAAGGGGCAATGGTTTCACCCTGAACGAGGGCAGGGTAAGGTTGGACGTAAGGAAGAAATGTTTCTTGGTTGGAGAAGTGAGGCCCTGGCCCAGGTTGCCCAGAGAAGCTGTGGGTGCCCCCTCCCTGCAGTGCCCAAGGCCAGGTTAGACGGGGTTGGGAGCAGCCTGGGCTGGTTTTAGGTGTCCCTGTTCATGGCAGAGGCGCTGGGCCAGTCGCTCTCTGAAGGTCCCTCCCAGCTCCTGTGATCTCACCTCCAGGTCATACTTAGCCAGAATGGCCCTGGAGCGGGCCCATTTCCCCTTGTTCTGGTGCTTAAGACTCATCCGCTCCTGGAGGAAGAGGAAGGGAAGCATCAGGAGCATCCTCGCGAGCAGGGAGCTCCCGGGGGCTGGGGCTGAAGCACAGGAGCAGCACCTGCATCCTGAGCTGCTCCAGCTCCTCCAGCTGCGCCAAGGCGGCCTCAGGGTCCGACTTGTGCAGCAGCTCAAACTCCTTCAAGGCCTTGCGCCTCCTGCTTTTCTTCAGCACGCGATGGTACCTGCAGCACAAGGAGGGAGAGCCAGGGAGTGAGACCTGAAGGAGCTGGGGAGGCCGTGGGGAGGAGGCAGACCCGGGGAGGAAGGGGCCGCTCTGCCTCCCTCTGTGCCCATGCACCGGGCAGGGATGGCTCCAGCACGAGGCCAGGACCCAGCCCTTCCCGCCGCACCGAGCCCAGCACCAGCAGAGTCTTACTTCTTGCTCTTGATCTTCTTCTCTCGCCGAGCCTTGGCTTCGTAGTAGGACTGCACGGCCCGAGCCCTCTGCAGCTCTGCCCGCCGCTGCCGGGCCTGCCAGGGAGCACAGAGTGAGGGTGAGCGCCAAGGAAGAGGTGTCCAGAGCCAGGGCACAGCACAGGGAGACCCTCACCTCCTCCAAGCTCATTGCCTGCAGCGAGGCCGCCTCCTCCGGCGTCAGGAGCGGGTCCGTGATGGGCTGCTGGTTCTTGCGGAGCAGCCCAAAGATCTCTTGCTCCAGGGGAGTGCGGGCCTGTTGGGACAGAACAGACATGGCAAGAGCATGATGAGATGAACTGCAAGAGCCAGCGTTCCCTGAGACATCCCTGTCCTTCCTGGTGCCCCTGAGCAGGGCCATGGGAGGACCCAGAGAAGCTTGTGGTGCTGCTTCAGGGGGCTGGGGTCAGCCCACGGCTCACTGTGGGCCTCCCAGCCACTGCTCCAGGTTGGGGCAGGCAGGATTCCTCCCAGGGCACAGGAACAGGCTCATAGTCACCAGGCGGTGCCACCCGGCATCACCGGACAAGAAGCCATCAAGCAGGAGTTCCAGGTCACACGACACCACGTCCCCCAAAAATGGGAACCTTTGGGCAGATGGAGGTGGTTGCTGGGTGTGCTGGGAGCTCAGCAGGGGCTGCCTGAGGGTCTGGAGAGCTGGGAGAGCTCTCAGGGGCGACAGCGACTCCTGCCAGCAGCACAACCCCCACGGACACTCACATTCAGCCCATGAGCCTGGGGCTGAAAGACTCAGAAGAGGTGGAGCAGACTCCAAACCCTCTGCTCATGCCTTACCCAGCCTCTCCCAGAGAGCATTCACACATCTGCCACGTGTGAGGAACGCAGAGCATTTCTCTTTCCATCTTCCCAAGCTCAGAGCATGCCTGCACAGAGCCCTGGCCGCAGCCTGGGCCTTCCCCACGCCCACCTCGCTCCTCCCAGCACAGCCCGGAGCCGCAGGGCTGCCCCGGCCGACCCCCAGCAGCTGTGTGACCCACGGCAGTGCCCACCTTCCACGCCGAAACCGCCTGCTCCAGGGGGACGACCGTGGCGATCTCCTGCTTCAGGGGGAAGACGAGCTGCTCTGCCCGCCGGTTCTGCAGCACCACCTCCTGCCACTTGCCCACGTCTTTGGAGGTCCTGACGTAGGCGGCTTCCCTGACGACCTGCAGGCAGGGGGGAGATGGGAAAGGGATGAGAAAGGCTGATGTAAAGACAAGAAAAGCCCATCTGAGACCGCATTTGGAATATTGTGTTCAATTCTGGGCCCTCAGGTCCAGAAGGACAGGAACTGCTTGAAAGAGTCCAGCAGGGCCACAAAGTGATGGAGGGAGTGGAGCATCTCCTGCTGAGGAGCGGCTGAGGGAGCTGGGGCTCTTGAGCTTGGAGCAGAGGAGACTGAGGGGTGCCCTCATTCCTGGGGATCCATTGGGAAAGGGCAGTGTCAGGGGGAAGGAGCCAGGCTCTGCTCTGGGATGGCCAATGCCAGGACAAGGGGCAATGGTCCCAAGCTGGAGCACAGGAGGTTCAAGCTGAAGATGAGGAAAAACTTTGTGAGTGTGAGGGTTACAGAGCATGGCCCAGGCTGCCCAGAGAGGTTGTGGAGTCTCCTTGTCTGGACACATTCAAGGCCAACCTGGCCATGTTCCTGTGTGACCTAGTTTAGGTGATCCTGCTCTGGCAGGGGTTGGACTGGATGATCTTTCGAGGTCCCTTCCAACTCCTGAAATTCTGTGATTCTGTGATGAGTGGAGGGGCACTCAGGGGTTCAACTCTGCCTCCCTGAAAGGCCAGAGCTTCCCTCCGCTGCCTGCGCAGGCGCACTCACCCGCTTCGCCTCCTCTTTGCTGAGTGGCAGCTCCACTGCCTTCTTCTGCTTCACTTTGGTCAGCTCCTTCTTCACGCTGCTCAGGGCGGATCTGGGATGGATGGGCTGCAGGAGCTCAGACAGAACCAGCTTCTCCCCGGCACCTGCAGGAGGTCCCACACGTCAACACCGGCTCAGTGTCACCGGGCCAAGGGGCTGCAGCCGCCTTCAGCCCAAAGCTCTGGGGCAGATGCAGCGAATCCCGTGCTGCTGGCTGTGGGCAGCCTCCTGGGGGTCTCACCTTTGCAGCTGACGTTGAACTCGGACACCTGCACGCTCGCCTCTGTGCGCTCGGCCAGCTTCCGCCTGTAAGGAAATAAACTAAAATAGAATAAAATAAACCAAAAGGCTGCTCACGTCCCCACCATGTGCTCCTCCT